ACGTCAGTCGTGACTGACGAATTGGGATCCGTATGGAAAACGCCACTATTGCTGACCCCCTCCAGTGCCCTGCGGAAGCCGGCAAGTCCCCCCACACCAGTTGGGGCAGAAGATAGGACAGGGCTTAGGCAGAGGTGTCCGCCACTGCTGTTCCATACAGTGGGATATAGGATAACACTGGGAAAGCGTACGCAAGTAGGGGAACGCTACGGAAGCCACATCCTGCGTATAGGAGGTATCATGTGGAATTACACATATGGACTGGCCCAGGGCAGTGCTACATATGGAAGTCCCTGCGGTAGACTCAACCCGCCTGGGGTGAGATAACTACGCAGCAGATATGGCAGCGAACGACTGCCAGGGAAAGACACGGGCTTACCGTGAGGGGAGCCGTACCGTGGAAGAATACACATGTGGGATCACCCCGAAGGGGAATCACTACACACGGGCACCTAGCCCAGCACAAGGGCTAACCTTGGGCATACACACGAGTGCTGAACCTAGCATCTGGCGCTCTGCCACGCCTGAACTTCAACAGGATTCACCAAAGGGGAAACAAAACTGAGAAGCACTTAAGCGCACGTATCCGGTCCATAGAGGGGAATGGCGCAGCAAGCGTGATGGACACCGAGCGGGTCCGGTGTTACTGACCATCTGAGGTAAGTACACGAGAGGACTCCTGAAGCTCTGCGTACGGTCCACGTAAATGCGCGAAGCGCGAGTGGGACAGAGCAGAGCAACGGCTGGGTCTGCCTCCTCCCGAGACAGGCGTGGTGGGAACTTTGGGCACATATCCAGGCCGGGGTCTCAGGACAATGTGAGAGTCGGCCGGCCCAAATTCAAGGCACAAATCGTCAACCAAAAATGCCTGCAGGTCCCCTACCCTCTTAACTGAAGCCAATGCAGTGAGGAGCACTGTCTTTAGCGACAGAAACTTAAGCTCTACTGACTGCAGAGGTTCGAAGGTCTCCTCCTTCAAGGCCGTCAGGAACGAGGGGAGATCCCAAGAGGGCACTAGGTGGGGGCGCGGAGGATTCAGCCTCCTCGCACCCCTAAGGAACCTGAAGATCAAGTCGTGCTTCCCAACAGACTTGCCGCCTACTGCATCGGGATGTGCGGCGATAGGATTCAGCCTCCACGTGTGCAACATACACTTTGAGGGTGGAGAGAGACAGCCTTCGCTCCAGCCCTTCTTGCAGAAAGGAGAGCACGACCGCGATCGGGCATCTATGGGGGTCTTCCCGCCGGGAAGAACACCAATCGACGAACAGGTTCCACTTCAGCGCGTAGGCGTGCCTCTTAGAGGGCACTCTAGCTGAATGATGGTGTTAACTACCGCTGGGGGCAGGTCACCTAGAACCTCCGCGTCCCGTCCAGAGACCACACGTGGAGATTCCACAGGTCCGGGCGCGGGTGCCAGAGGGTGCCCCCTCTCTGAGAAAGGAGATCCTTCCTCAGAGGAATAGGGCATCTATGGGGGTCTTCCCGCCGGGAAGAACACCAATCGACGAACAGGTTCCACTTCAGCGCGTAGGCGTGCCTCTTAGAGGGCACTCTAGCTGAATGATGGTGTTAACTACCGCTGGGGGCAGGTCACCTAGAACCTCCGCGTCCCGTCCAGAGACCACACGTGGAGATTCCACAGGTGCCAGAGGGTGCCCCCTCTTTGAGAAAGGAGATCCTTCCTCAGAGGAATAAGCCAAGGAGGGGCTGTCGCAAGGAGCATTAGTTCTGGGAACCAAGTCCGACTGGGCCAGTACGGCGCTACTAAGAGGACCTGCTCCTCGTCCTCCCTGACCTTGCACAGAGTCTGTGCGAGAAGGCTCACTGGGGGAAACGCATACTTGCATAGGTCCCGAGGCCAGCTGTGTGCCAGTGCGTCCGTACCGAGGATCCCCTCGGCCAGGGAGTAAAACAGCTGGCAGTGGGATGTGTCTGGGGAGGCAAACAGGTCTACCTGAGCATCTCCGAAGCGTCTCCAGATCAGCGTAGACTGCCCTGGTGGTTGATGTACGCAACAGTCGCAGTGTTGTCCGTCCGTTTCAGTGGAACCGCCCTCTTGCGCCGGAAGGACTCCAGGCAGCTCAGCATTGACTGGGCATGCTCTACTGAGAGGCACGCTGTCAGATTGACTGAGTACCACGTCCCTGTGTTCGCACAGCTGCGCTCGAGACTGGGCCAGTATGAGCCAGTCATCGAGGTAGTTGAGAATGCGAATGCCCGCTTCCCTCAATGGAACGAGGGCTGCCTCCACGACCTTGGTGAAGACACGAGGCGACAGGGATAGCCCGAAGGGGAGGACCTTGTACTGATATGCTCGCCCCTCGAACGCAAAGCGGAGAAACGGCCCGTGTCGAGGGAGGATCGAAACATGAAAGTACGCATCCTTCAGGTCGATCGCTGCAAACCAATTGAGCAGACGAACGCATCGAAAGAAACGTTTCTGCGTCAACATCCTGAACGGGAGCCTGTGAAGGGCCCGGTTCAGAACGCGCAGATCCAGGATTGGTCGTAACCCACCGCCTTTCTTGGGTACAATGAAGTAGGGGCTGTAAAACCCCGACTTCATATCGGCTGGAGGGACCGGCTCTATCGCGTCCTTCGCCAGTAGGACTGCGATTTCCGCTCGCAAGACGGGAGCATCCTTGCTCGGCACAGAGGTGAACCAAATGCCCCTGAACTTGGGAGGACGTCGGGCGAGCTGAATCGCATAGCCGAGTCTGATGGTTCTCGTGAGCCAGCGAGATGGTCTGGGGAGCGTTAGCCAGGCCCCCAGGACCCGAACAAGTGGAACTAGGGGAACCACCGATGTACCCGCAGTGGGACAGCGAGGTGGAGCACAGGGACCCGACCCGGAAGGCACAGCATCCCGGAGTGGGGTCTGAGTGTGCGGTGCAACACTTACCTGGCTCCACGGATGGGCAGGGGGCACGTGAGAAAGCATATCGTCCTCGAACCGGGCCCAGTCTTGCACACTGCCATCCTCGCCCTCTTCAGACCCGGAGAAATAGGAAACTGCTCTTTTGTTGAATGTTTGGGTACCCCTGGCTGGGGAGCCAGTGGTGGAACAAAACAAAAAGGAAACAAAAGAATCTCCACCCGGCCCTCCTCCGGGGGAAGAAGTGGTGCCCTCCCCACCTCCTGAAGAGCAGGATCCAGAGTCTCCGGTTCGCCCGTCTCAGGGATGCTTGCCCTGGTGCTTTACGGGCCTGGCAGGGGCAGAGACAGGCTGCGCCGCTTTCCTGCTGCCAGCTCCACGCTGCGGCCGGTGTGGAGGCTGCTGTTGAGGCTGAGCTGGAGCGGAGGTGGAGGCAGTAGGAGGGCGGCGGTGTGATAACAGCAGCGGGCCGCCGGGGCAGGATGTGTCTGATCGCCTCCGTCTGCTTCTGTGCGGCAGAGAACTGCTGGGCGAAGCTCTCCACCGCATCGCCGAAGAGGCCAGCCTGGGAGATCGGGGAGCCCAGGAAACGGTGTTTGTTGGCCTCCCTCATATCTGCCAGGTTCAGCCATAGGTGTCGTTCCTGGACCACCAGGGTGGACATCGTCTGACCAAGGGACCGTGCTGTGACTTTCGGCGCCCGGAGGGCGAGGTCCGTCACTGTGCGCAGTTCCTGCATTACCCCAGGGTCAGAACTGCCCTCGTGCAGCTGCTTCAACGCCTTGGCCTGGTAGACCTGCAGGAGGGCCATGGCGTGCAGGGAGGGTGCGGCCTGTCCAGCAGCTCTGTAAGCCTTGGCCGTTAGAGCGGACGAGAACTTACAGGCCCTGGACAGGAGGCGAGGATTACCCCACCAGGCGGCAGCGCTTTGCGGGCAGAGCTGCATCGCAATAGCGCGCTCGACTGGGGGGATCTCCACATACCCCTTAGCCGCCCTGCCATCGAGGGCAGTGAGGACGGAAGAAGCACCAGCTCTGTTTCGGGCAGAAAAAGGTGCCCTCCAAGATCTAGTAACCTCTTCATGCACTTCCGGAAAGAAAGGAACCGGAGGTGGCTGCCGGTGATCGGCCTGCGACACCCCCAGGAACCAATCATCCAACCTCGAGCGTTCGGGAGATGGAGGTGGTTTCCATTGCAACCCGACGCTCTCGGCGGCCCGGGAAAGCATAGCAGTCAGCTCTGGATCCAATAGTGGCGTTTTCCATACGGATCCCAATTCGTCAGTCACGAGTGACGTAACGTCGAACGTGACTGACTGAAAGGGAACTTAACTTGCTGCCTAGTTTTTGTATTTTCGTACTTTGTTCTAAAAATTTTTACCCTAGATCATCCCATTAGGTTTGTGTGTGTAATCTATTCTTATTATTATTTTATTCATTACTA